AAAATGCTTAATTGTGTACTCAGGTGATTATGCCATTATATGTAGCTGGTAATTATGAGATAAGTTTACTCCACAGCTTCTTCAGAATTTGGGGCAGTCAATACCTTCTATTTTAAACATCCTGGTATATATACATTATTATTTCATTGTGAATTTTTCTGATAAATAATGATGTTATGTATTTCTCAAATGCTTATTGGCAACTTCTGTTAAATATTCAAATCTCTCTCTTTTTTTGTTTGTTTTTAGTTTTGGGTCACACCTGGCATACTCAGTGTCTACTTCTTCTGGCTCTGTGCTCAAGGGTTTCTTCCAGTGGTATTCTGGGAACCATACAACATTAGGCATCAAACAGTCCAGCATGCCAAGTATATGAGCTACATCTTTGGCCTGGATTGCATCTTGCTATTGAGTTCTAAGAGTTACAATTTTAGATCAGATATTATCTCATGACTCCCCATTCTATTTTCTTAGCAGTAACTTTTGAGAGGTTTTTCATTTTGTTTGTGGGCCACACACCCAGCAGTGCTCAGAGCTCAATCCTGGTAGTGCTTAGGAGACCACAAATAGTGCTGGAGATTGAACTAGCATTGAGTATGTCCAAGACAATCCCCTTAACCCCTGTACTATTTTTCTGGCTCCACTTTTGAAAGGTTTCAGTGACACCAATTCTAATAGTCAAATCACTTTTTAAACAATTTTTGAAAATTTTAAGTACATTTGTATCCTGTCTTAAGATCCATCAATTCAAGGTGATGAAGATTTTCTCTTATGGTTCATTTTAGTAGTTTTATAGTTTCAACCTCAATGTTCAGGTCTAATAATTTTGAATGACTTTTTATGTATGGTATGAGGCTGCTGTAAATTATCCAGCACCATTTGTCCAAAAGTCTATTCTGTCTTGGTTAATAAAATTGGAGCCCTAGGTAAAGAACAACTGACCACATATAGGGGTTTTACTTGTGAATTCCCTGATCTTTTGTCTATGTATACCAATACCCTTTTCAATTACTGGAGTCTGCAGAAAATTTTAAAATAGTAATTTATGTCTTCCAAATTTTTTCTTTTTAAAAATTGTTCTGGGGCCATAGCAATAGTACAGTGGTAAGGCATTTGTCTTGCACACACTGAGAAAGGTTTTACCTGGCACTGTCAGGAGTGATCCCTGAGGCAGAGCCAGGAGTAAGCTCTGAACATCACCAAGTAGACCTAGGATAGCCAGAACAATTTTTTTAGGTTTTTTTTTTTTTTGAGCCATACCCAATGATGCTCAGCGCTTGCTCCTGGCTCCACTCTCAGGGATCACTCCTGGCGGGCTTCAGGGCCCATATGAGATGCCGGGGATCAAACTCTGGTCAACTGCATGCAAGGAAAGGGTCCTACCCACTGTACTATTGCTCCAGCCCTTTCAAATATCAATGCCTCTTGTACTGATCAGGATCTCCAGAAACAATTACAAATACAAAGTGGTGAATGCAGAAATGCCTTGACATGTAATTGATATGTATTTTTTCTTTCTGGGGGATCACACCTGGCATATTAGGGTTTACTCCTGGCTCTGTGTTCAGGTATTATTCCTGGCAGTGCTTAGGTGACCATGCAGTACCAAGGATCAAACTTGGTTGACAAGTGCAAGGAAAACACCTTAATCCCTGCACTCTTTCTCCTGTCTCATGTACCTAATCCTACAGAAAAAGTATTAAATCTTATACCATTAAGTATGATGATAGCTTCAGGGACTTTGGTGAACGCTGCATGCTGAACTGAGACAGTTTCTATTTCTAATTTGCTGAGAATTTTACAAGATTGTATATTGTATTTATAATTCTGCCAAATATTCATTCTTAAAAGTATCAAAATTATAATATAAATTTTAACTACATGATTTAACTATCATATAATCACATGATAATTTTATATTTTATCTTAATATGCTGAGAACTTTTATTAGTTCTTGAAGGCTTGGAATGCCTTCAAGAGCATTGAAGAAATAACTAAAAGGACAAAGAACCTCCAACTACGAGCACATCTCTTTGATTCCACTATTCTTCCTGCATTAACATATGCCTCAGAGACCTGGACCCTACGAAAACAGGATGAGAACACTATTCGGGTCTCTCAAAGAGGAATCGAAAGAACTATGCTTGGAATATCACGATTCACTCAAATGAGAGATAGAATCCGGAGTTCTGATCTTCGTCAACGCTCAAGAATCAGAGACGCTGTCTCATTTGCCAAGACATCAAAAATCAGATGGGCTGGACATGTAATGAGGTTTACAGACAACCGCTGGACTAGAGCCATTACTGATTGGATTCCACGAGACATCAAAAGATCACGTGGACGCCCACCTATAAGATGGTCAGACTTCTTCGTCAAGACCCTAAATGATCGGTTTGAGGCTCTACATGTTCCTAAAACGAACAGATACCATTGGGCTACGCTAGCACGCAACCGGGATGAATGGAGACGTTACTGGCACCCGCTCGAATAAATCGATGAATAACGGGGATTAAGTGATTAAGTGAAGTGATGCTGAGAACTTAGTTTGTATCAGGAGGGGAAGACAGAGGATTTTAAATTAATCAATGATTCATTTGTAACATACAAGCTACTAGAAAAATGGGGGTAAAGGAAGAAAGAGCTTAAAAACGACAGTGATGGGGGCTGGAGTGATAGCACAGCGGGTAGGGCGTTTGCCTTGCATGCGGTTGACCCGGGTTCGATTCCCAGCATCCCATGGTCCTCCGAGCCCCGCCAGGAGAAATTCCTGAGTGCATGAGCCAGGAGTAACCCATGTGCATCGCCGAGTGTGACCCAAAAAGCAAAAAAACCAAACCAAAACAAAACAAAACAAAATGACAGTGAAGAAGAAGCAGGCCTAGTTGGGAGTAAAAAAAACTGCTATTTTAAAGAAGGTTTTTAAGCACTATTTGAAACTTTAAGTATGCAAAGGTAATTGATAACAACCTAAAAGATAAAAAATGGTTTGTAGCGAGATGTGAAGATGAGGCCAGAGCCAGAGTCTCATTATAAACTGCATGGTGCTGCTGGAGATGCGGGCTGGGAGAAACAGGTGAGCTGGCGAGCTGGCTTCAGCTTCAGGCCTGGGTTGCTTGGGTAGAACCTTAAGGAGAACATAATATATGTAACTGGGAATCCTTGGTAGTGAAGAGCTAGGAGCTGAAAATCAAGACTTAAGAAAGAAAACCAAAGGGGAAAAAAAGGCTCTAAGGTCACAAGAATGGGCAACTGTGAAAATGCTTAGATGAGAAAAAAGATTAAGAATAACACTTTAGGGAAAAAGATTAATGACAATACTTTAGGGATAATACTATATGGGACAAGGATAAGGATGCAAAGAAGGAGAAAGATGACGCATTTTTCAAAGATCAGGAAGAGAAACAACTTAATAGGAAATGGAAGTCAAGTAAGGAAAGTGTTTTACCCTTTCAAAATACTAAGTCCCAAAGATTTTGTGTCTCAATAAACATTGGTGCTATACTGTTTTTTTTTTAAAACAGGTGTTTCTTCCTAATTTCATGAAGAAATCTGGGATGTTAATAGAACCATAAGTAACAAGTTTAATGACGGAAAGTAGAGAAAGATATACACATATTTTTTATATTGCATTTATGAGTTTGATATCAGGAAACATCTGGAGCAGGGAATATGAGGTAAAGAGCTTCCACCAGTATCTTAAATGATGAAAGTGTTCAGTAAGAAAATGAGGAACATAAATCATAGATGAAAGAGAAAATTGGTTGAATATTCACATCACTTAGACGGAACATTTGAAGATTAAGAAGAGAAAATTCTATGGAAAAGTGCCTAAAATTTTTTATTTAACAGAGTACACAAGGTGTGATGATTCAGAAATAATGAGTCATTTAGAAATAATAAAACTAGTAGCTTGCCTGGAAAACAAGCACTCTTTGGATGACTCAGTGTGGAAACTGATTCCAAGAGAACAATTTAGAGGGCTACAAAAACATATGCCATAGAACTAATTATAGGATAAAAAAGGAGCCTGGAATATTTTCTATGTTGTGCTTGCTGTATTACTGAAACCCAATCATGAACAGCTTTGTAATGGTGTATCTCATGGTGATTCAATCAAAAAAAATTAGAAAATGAAAAACCAAACTCCCCCTCAAAAACAGATAATTGAGAAAGTACATTTTAAAAATCTCTTAAAAGGGGGAAGGGGAGGTTCCTTATTCAAAATTTATTTTATTTTTTTTTCACATTTAAAAATATTAAAGCACTGTGGTGAGAAATGTACACTGGTGGAGGGATGGGTGTTGGAACACTGTATGACTAAGACCTGATCATGAAAGCTTTGTAACTGTATTTCATAATTATTTAATAATTGAGAAAAAAATTTACAAGAAGCACTGTGATTTACGAAGTTATCTGTATTTGGGTTTAGACATACAATATTGCAGCACAACTCATCAGCAGTGTCAACTTCCCTCCAAAAATGTTCCCATGTTTCCTCCCAAATCCACCCCCACCCCATGGCCCACCCTAGCCTGCCCTCTTGAACAGTGCCTTTCTAAGTTTGGTTGTCAAAGTTTGGGGCTTTTAACTTCAGTGTTGTTGACTCTGTGGTTTGCATATCTGGCTTTACCGTTCCTTAATACCCCTTTGTCCTTCCCCCACGTTCCCCATTCTCATCTGTCTCTTCTGCCCCTCCCTTCCACTCTTTCTCTCCTTCCCCGCCCTATACTCTAGGGCCAGGGTTGATGACGTTATCTCCCCTTTACAAAACTGCATTCCCTCATCCAGTTATTCTAATTACTACACATAAGTGATATCATCCTGGGTTTACTCTAAAAGGGAAGCTTTTCTGATGCTCAAAATATTGTATGAGAATAAAAGAACAATCAGTGCTTTCTGTTTAGGACTAAAGCCTTAGTGAGAAAAGTAAAACGGGAACACATCAGCTGCATACCTAATCTGAGCATATGGAAACCAGAAAGTACTTTAAAACTTACTTTTACTTTTCCTCCAGTGGAGAAACAGGAAATGAGGCAGAGTGGAAAAGCACCAGGTGGCAGTCAGGAGCTCTTCACTCCAGCTCAGTGAGTTGGTCAAGTCACTTTCTTCACTGGGATTTTGCCTTCTCTTCTAGCTAGACAAGCAGGACAAAGAAACAACTGGAGTGTGCAGAACATGAACAAAGGAAACATTTTCCCCTTAGTCTAAATTAGGGCATAAAAAAACTATGTTTCATTTGTATTTGCATTGTATTATTGCACACCCATAAACCACACCCTGCCGGCACCAGATAATCTCATTGACCACGCTCCAGAACTCATGACTGCTCCTTCCAGATGGGAGTATAAAAGGAGGCCCCCATAACCATGCCACCGGACTCTGCGCCAGGCTGTTTCCACTCAGGGAGCCCTAGAGGGGGGCAGGCGAGAGCCCTCCCTGTCCCAAGGGACCAAGCCCCAGCAGCCGACCTCCACTAGCCAACCGCTGCCACGCTCCAGGCAGCTTTTGGGACACATCATAAGACACTTCCTACCCATTTTCCATAATTACCACACTGTGTTTGATGGATTTCAGACAGTAGGCAACATATCATAGAGAGAAATATAGATCTGCCTCTCGGAGAGCCCAGCAAGCTACCAAGAGTATCCCGCCTGCATGAGCAGAGCCTGGCAAGCTCCCCCAGCGTATTCGATATGCCAAAACCAGTAACTGTAACAGGTCTCAATCCTCTGACCATGAAAGACCCTCCAATCATTGGGAAAGATGAGTAAGGAGAGGCTGCTAAAATCTCAGGGCTGGGATGAATAGAGACGTTACTGGCACCAGCTCGAGTAAATCGACAAACAACAGGATGACATTGATACAATGACTGCATCTGAAGAACTGGTTCTTAATTTTTTATGCTTACTGCTTGGGAAGTTACTGATTTTCCTAAGTACTGGCTCCAAAAGGAAGACTTGGGTGTTAAATGTTTTACCATTTCACACAGAGAAGGCTGTGGATGGTGGGGCAGGGATGGGATGGGGCTGGAGGAGAACACACAGCAGGCGGGAAACTGAGGACATTGGGGGTGGGAAATGTACACTGGTGAAGGGATGGGCGTTGGAACACTGATGACTGAAACTATCATGAACAAATTTGTAACTGTGGATCTCATGATGATTCAATAAAAAAAATAATTTTTTTTGACCATTTCACAAAAAAATAAACAACTCTATCCACATCAACAATAGTCTGTCCGCAGGTAGTATTTTAAGAACTTTAATTTGCATAACCCTTTTCAAAGTCTTTTTATTATTTTAAATTAGTAAAAATCAAATCACATTCTGTAGATAAAAACCAAGTGGCTAGTTAGACAAACCTATCTACAATACAGTTAAATAAACACTGTATATATAATAAATTCCTGTGAGTCAGGTAATTCATAGCTTACAACGAAAGCTGGCTCAGAAAGAAGACACCTAAGGTGCAGATCAAGGAAAGCATCTCAAAGGACTGACTGCCTGGCCCACTCCTGGAGTAGAGTTTCAGGAACAAAGAGAGCATGCATTCTGGTCTGGGGGTGGTGGAAAGCCAGGTGTGGGTACTATCAAGAATTTGACATTTTTAAGTGTTAAGTTTGAAGAAAACTACTCCGAAGTGGGGAGGCAGAGTCAACAGTGTTAGAGAACCCCTGAGAGGGGAGAAAGGGAGAAGCTCTGGTTTAAATTCCAGATGAATCACTCTGTGCGGCACTTTTGAGGAAGACAAGACCAAAGTAGCAAGCCCAGGATGGAAGGCCTCTGCAGCAAACAGGACAGAAACTGCAAGGCTGCTGTAAGTGAAGGCAGCTCAAGAGACAGACATGACTAAGCCACAGTCATAAAACCGTGTAAATCTTTTCCCTTTGAGTTGTGGCTTTTCCGTGTCCCTCTGTAAACACAGACTCTGGTTAAAACGGACAGGAAATCTGCATTCATTTTATTAAAGCACAGATTTTTTTAAAAAAGACTTTATTAATGAATACTGAGCATCCAAAATATATAGGGCATTATGAAAAATAAGCAAGGTTGCAATACTGTGGAAACTTTAGGGATAAATGAAAATGAAACAAAAGAGAACAGATCAATTCGTTCAACAGGTACTCTCTGGGGTCCTGGCAGAGATCATATTTTAGTGACTGCTCCTTTTAGAACAAAATTATAGTTTATTAACCTATTTTTCCACTTAATGAAGAGAAAGACCTTTCCATAAAGATAAAAATACAACAACACACACAGTGAATATACCAAATTCACTTAATTCAGTTCTCTCTGGAGGGGCATTCGGCTACTGGAATTGTGCAGAAGAGAAGCACGCAGCAAGCAAATGGCAAAACCGACCTTGGCTGTGGCAGCATTCTGAGTATTCCAAAGGTAGAGAGGGGCAAAACGTATGGAAGCTCAGGAGATTTTCGTGTTCCAGACAGGAGATGAATAATGTCTGAATCTGAAATTCTTTTTGGATGAAGAAGAATTTCCAAAAGGGAAACAAAGACTATAACCCAACACACACTAAAAATAAAGCAATTTCAAATTCTTCACATCTGTAGAACAGATAGAATGTCAAAGAAAGGATTCGGATCATTTAAAACAGTGGGTGGACGGCCAGGGAAAAACCAAGTGCTGTTCCAGTTGTGAGTACAATCACAACTTTCCAAAGGAGCTCCCCAAGTTGTGCCCTAGAAGAAATGCACTGAGCCTTTCTTGTGAGATACCCAGAAGCCTCCGATTTCAGAATTCTCTCTGGGTCTTCATTTCTTCAAGCATTTGGGTGATCCTGTGAGTTACAAACTATGCTTATCAGAGTTCCTTTGGGAGCTGCCAATACTAGGCAATTTCCACCACAACCAGAATAACTCTTTTATCTGTCTTATATATATTGAATTTCAAAGAAATTTTCATTTGAAAACTGTTTCAGGGCCTGGAGCAATAGTACAGGAGGTAGGGTGTTTGCCTTCGACCTGGGTTTGCAGTCGACCTGGGTTTGCAGTCGACCTGGGTTCAATCTCCAGCATCCCATATGGTCCCATATGGTCCCTCACCAGCAGTAATTCCTGAGGGCAGAGGCAGGAGTAACCCCTGAGCATCGCCAGGTTTGACTCAAAGAGAAAAAGAAAAGAAAAAGTTCCAAAATTAAAAAAAAAATCCTAAAATTACAAGATTAAAAAAATCTACTTTGCACCGGTGGAGGGATGGGTACTTTTTGTTTCTGCTTTCTAGGTGGTGATCAGGAAGTCTAGGAGTTTCTCCGAGTGAATCTTGGCCAACTGGGTGGGTGATTTAACAAATACAAGGACCTGAGCCACACCTGCAGTACTTGGGGGTCTCTAGGGCTGCACCCAACTATGCTCAAGGGACTACACAATGTTGGGAATACAGCTGAAGTTAGCAGTCTGTAAGGAATGCATGCCTTAACCTCCTACTATCTTTCCAGTCTCCAAAGTATAAATTTTTAATGAAGAGATCTGAAGGCCATTACCTTAATATCTTGTTAAATTTAGCATCATTAATAGCAGAACAATCAGATACTGTGCACTTTTTGATGTGACTGATGCAGTATGAAAATCAAAGTATCATGTATGGTGTTTTCTGTCCCAAATATCTAGTTTTAATTTATACTTCAGATTTAATGTTCAATAATATGAAATGCAGGTGATGCAGTTTATAATACACAAAAGTTTATTTATCAATACCATAAGGAAAAATAAATCCATGACATCATTCCATAAACTGACTGGCCCGATCTCTCCCATAAGTCAGTATAATACTCTCATGATGTGTGTGTAGGGCGGGGAGAGGGAAGATGGTAAAAGGAACAACAAGTTAAAGATTCTGCTATAGGAGCAGAGCTTGACTGTTTCAGCAAAAGTGGGGACATCAATAATTAGATTGACTTAGTGAGAGGAGAAGCTCCTGACAGATTTTTGAGCAGAGAAATTTCATGATCTGACTTACATATTTAACAAATCAAGAGAAAAGACTACAGGAGACAAGAATAGGAGAAGAAAAATCAAAAAGGGGGCAAAATTGCCTGGAATAGTCAAGGTAAAAGATGATGTTGGGTGTGGACTGTGCCATACATATCAGGGCAGGGGTGAAAATGTAATCAGATTCTTGATATATTCTGAAATAAAAGCAAATGGAACCCAATGTGTGGGTTTTATGGACAGGAAGGAAGACAAGAATAAATCCAAGAGTGATTTTAAGGACTTTAGTTTTTCCTTGGTGGTGACTGTTTGAAATAAGAATAGAGGTTTTGTTGTCTGAAACTAGTACAGAGATCCTCAAATTTATTTGACCAACTTTCCAGGAAAAAAATTAAGTACTTATTTTTCTCCTTTCCCTGTCCATGAATATCTACCTTTTACACTCTAATCAGTTTTTACTGAGGTATTGATACCACTGTTTAATACTCCCAGTGCTGCTATCCCATGCCCACCAAAGTGCCAAGCTCCCTCCCAAAGTCCCTACCCTGATTACTATGCTCAATTCACAGTTCTATAGACTGTATGTCAAAATTCCATTCCAGTGGGAATTGTTTAATCCCTTGCTTTGTTTCTTTATACTTTGCATAGGAGCTTTTTTATCTTTCTGATTTACCTCCAATTAATACCTTCCAATTTCATCCAAGTGGCAACACACGGCAAACTCTCATTTTTTCTCCTAGCTGGGTAGCATTCCATTATGGAAACCTACCTTGTTTTGGTGAATGAACAGAAAGAACCCTCCTAGTGCAACTGCAGCTACTACTTCTTCAAAGGACAACCCTCTGGGGAAAGGGCGGGTGGCTATCATTTATTTTGGGAAGCACTGGTTACTTTAAAGAAGAGAACTTGAAGAGAACTGACACGAATTGAGGTTGATAATATTGGGGATTAACAGATTTGGTGGTGGGAGAGAAAGCAATGGTGAAACTCAGTTTCAGACATTAGCTTTGACATACCTTTTAGACACTCAGTCAAAATGTGCGGAATGCTGTTTGAGAACAGAGAGAATCTCTACTTTTGGAGATATAGCTGATACAAATTTTAGAATCAAGCTTAAAGACCCCAGGCGAGATAAGATTATCAAGGAAAGAGAAAAACAGAAATATTTATTCTGAAATATATA